TAAAGGTGGAGTAGTGGTACTATGTATTTGTATGTATACTCAGTTGTGTACATTATATTACATATGAATATTAAACACTGGTAAAGGTGGAGTAGTGGTACTATGTATTTGTATGTATACTCAGTTGTGTACATTATATTACATATTAATATTAAACACTGGTAAAGGTGGAGTAGTGGTACTATGTATTTGTATGTATACCCAGTTGTGTACATTATATTACATATTAATATTAAACACTGGTAAAGGTGGAGTAGTGGTACTATGTATTTGTATGTATACTCAGTTGTGTACATTGTAGTCAGTTTCTTCTATTGGCTTCTTTGCTAAGTTTCTAAGAATAGTTTGGTTACATTTAAAACTACTTTTTTAGACTTTCAGGCCCAGGAAGAAGTTTGAGCCTGGGACCTTAAAGTTTTCTCTCCACAAGCGTGCACAAGCATCACTGAACTCGGGAATAGACTTGAAACATGTAGTCAGACTTCCTCCTAGAGAACACTTGAATGATTGGGTGGCAGTCCATGGTAAGAACAGTGGTATTAGATTAAAGGTAAATTAGTTAATGAAAATTTACATTTCAATTTATGTAACATGGTACAGTAGAGAGAGAGAGAGAGTGATGGGAATTAATTATAGCGTGAGAAGAGGGATTAAACTGTTGTTCCACATCAGTTGTACCCCATTCAGAGATAAATTATTTCACAAAAGCTTTCGATAAACTGCATTAAATGTATAGAATTTTATACTTTTTTCTCATGCAGTATCTCAAGTCTAAAACATTTTAGGGGGAAGAAAAAAGAATGATTATATAATTGTAAAAAAAAGATACACTAGCAGGAATTTATTTGATGTGTTTGTTGTTATGTATATATTAAAAATAGTTAATCAGGGATTATCTTTTGTTTCTAGTGGTTGATTTCTTCAATCGTATCAACTTAATCTATGGGTCTGTCACAGATTTTTGCCGGGAAGATACTTGTCCTACAATGTCAGGAGGACCAAAGTAAGAACAAAGTATACACTGCGATGCCACAAACATTATATATATATAAATATATTCATGGGATCTGAATGAGTTAATACATATGAAACAGTTTTCTGATATGAAAGTAATAGCATACATGTTGTCAGTTTACATGCAGGGAATGTAGCATTAAGGAAAAAAGTTAATGTGCATATAATTAGACCAAACTACGAGTTTTATTTTCTCATGTAACATAGTCATTAGACCAAACTACGAGTTTTATTTTGTCATGTAACATAGTCATTAGACCAAACTATGAGTTTTATTTTGTCATGTAACATAGTCCTTAGACCAAACTATGAGTTTTAATTTGTTGTGTAACATAGTCATTAGACCAACCTATGAGTTTGTTACGTAACACTCTTTTATACAATGTTTAACAAAATAATAAAATATTTTATCAACTATAATGTTTATCTTTTACTGAACAACTTATGCAACGTCATTAGACCAAACTATGAGTTTTATTTTGTCATATGTTACATGACAAAATAAATTAGACCAAACTACGAGTGACTATGTTACATGACAAAATAAACTCGTAGTTTGGTCTAATGACTATGTTACGTGACAAAATAAAACTTGTAGTTTGGTCTAACGACTATGTTACATGACAAAATAAAACTCATAGTTTGGTCTAAGGACTATGTTACATGACAAAGCATAGACTCATAGTTTGGTCTAAAGGACAATGTTACAGGACAAAGCATAGACTCATAGTTTGGTCTAAAGGACTATGTTACAGGACAAAGCATAGACTCATA